GACGATCTGGTCGTAGGTGTGGTGATGATCTGGTGGCGACACAGTGACGATCTGGTCGTAGGTGTGGTGATGATCTGGTGGCGACACAGTGACGATCTGGTCGTAGGTGTGGTGATGATCTGGTGGCGACACAGTGACGATCTGGTCGTAGGTGTGGTGATGATCTGGTGGCGACACAGTGACGATCTGGTCGTAGGTGTGGTGATGATCTGGTGGCGACACAGTGACGATCTGGTCGTAGGTGTGGTGATGATCTGGTGGCGACACAGTGACGATCTGGTCGTAGGTGTGGTGATGATCTGGTGGCGACACAGTGACGATCTGGTCGTAGGTGTGGTGATGATCTGGTGGCGACACAGTGACGATCTGGTCGTAGGTGTGGTGATGATCTGGTGGCGACACAGTGACGATCTGGTCGTAGGTGTGGTGATGATCTGGTGGCGACACAGTGACGATCTGGTCGTAGGTGTGGTGATGATCTGGTGGCGACACAGTGACGATCTGGTCGTAGGTGTGGTGATGATCTGGTGGCGACACAGTGACGATCTGGTCGTAGGTGTGGTGATGATCTGGTGGCGACACAGTGACGATCTGGTCGTAGGTGTGGTGATGATCTGGTGGCGACACAGTGACGATCTGGTCGTAGGTGTGGTGATGATCTGGTGGCGACACAGTGACGATCTGGTCGTAGGTGTGGTGATGATCTGGTGGCGACACAGTGACGATCTGGTCGTAGGTGTGGTGATGATCTGGTGGCGACACAGTGACGATCTGGTCGTAGGTGTGGTGATGATCTGGTGGCGACACAGTGACGATCTGGTCGTAGGTGTGGTGATGATCTGGTGGCGACACAGTGACGATCTGGTCGTAGGTGTGGTGATGATCTGGTGGCGACACAGTGACGATCTGGTCGTAGGTGTGGTGATGATCTGGTGGCGACACAGTGACGATCTGGTCGTAGGTGTGGTGATGATCTGGTGGCGACACAGTGACGATCTGGTCGTAGGTGTGGTGATGATCTGGTGGCGACACAGTGACGATCTGGTCGTAGGTGTGGTGATGATCTGGTGGCGACACAGTGACGATCTGGTCGTAGGTGTGGTGATGATCTGGTGGCGACACAGTGACGATCTGGTCGTAGGTGTGGTGATGATCTGGTGGCGACACAGTGACGATCTGGTCGTAGGTGTGGTGATGATCTGGTGGCGACACAGTGACGATCTGGTCGTAGGTGTGGTGATGATCTGGTGGCGACACAGTGACGATCTGGTCGTAGGTGTGGTGATGATCTGGTGGCGACACAGTGACGATCTGGTCGTAGGTGTGGTGATGATCTGGTGGCGACACAGTGACGATCTGGTCGTAGGTGTGGTGATGATCTGGTGGCGACACAGTGACGATCTGGTCGTAGGTGTGGTGATGATCTGGTGGCGACACAGTGACGATCTGGTCGTAGGTGTGGTGATGATCTGGTGGCGACACAGTGACGATCTGGTCGTAGGTGTGGTGATGATCTGGTGGCGACACAGTGACGATCTGGTCGTAGGTGTGGTGATGATCTGGTGGCGACACAGTGACGATCTGGTCGTAGGTGTGGTGATGATCTGGTGGCGACACAGTGACGATCTGGTCGTAGGTGTGGTGATGATCTGGTGGCGACACAGTGACGATCTGGTCGTAGGTGTGGTGATGATCTGGTGGCGACACAGTGACGATCTGGTCGTAGGTGTGGTGATGATCTGGTGGCGACACAGTGACGATCTGGTCGTAGGTGTGGTGATGATCTGGTGGCGACACAGTGACGATCTGGTCGTAGGTGTGGTGATGATCTGGTGGCGACACAGTGACGATCTGGTCGTAGGTGTGGTGATGATCTGGTGGCGACACAGTGACGATCTGGTCGTAGGTGTGGTGATGATCTGGTGGCGACACAGTGACGATCTGGTCGTAGGTGTGGTGATGATCTGGTGGCGACACAGTGACGATCTGGTCGTAGGTGTGGTGATGATCTGGTGGCGACACAGTGACGATCTGGTCGTAGGTGTGGTGATGATCTGGTGGCGACACAGTGACGATCTGGTCGTAGGTGTGGTGATGATCTGGTGGCGACACAGTGACGATCTGGTCGTAGGTGTGGTGATGATCTGGTGGCGACACAGTGACGATCTGGTCGTAGGTGTGGTGATGATCTGGTGGCGACACAGTGACGATCTGGTCGTAGGTGTGGTGATGATCTGGTGGCGACACAGTGACGATCTGGTCGTAGGTGTGGTGATGATCTGGTGGCGACACAGTGACGATCTGGTCGTAGGTGTGGTGATGATCTGGTGGCGACACAGTGACGATCTGGTCGTAGGTGTGGTGATGATCTGGTGGCGACACAGTGACGATCTGGTCGTAGGTGTGGTGATGATCTGGTGGCGACACAGTGACGATCTGGTCGTAGGTGTGGTGATGATCTGGTGGCGACACAGTGACGATCTGGTCGTAGGTGTGGTGATGATCTGGTGGCGACACAGTGACGATCTGGTCGTAGGTGTGGTGATGATCTGGTGGCGACACAGTGACGATCTGGTCGTAGGTGTGGTGATGATCTGGTGGCGACACAGTGACGATCTGGTCGTAGGTGTGGTGATGATCTGGTGGCGACACAGTGACGATCTGGTCGTAGGTGTGGTGATGATCTGGTGGCGACACAGTGACGATCTGGTCGTAGGTGTGGTGATGATCTGGTGGCGACACAGTGACGATCTGGTCGTAGGTGTGGTGATGATCTGGTGGCGACACAGTGACGATCTGGTCGTAGGTGTGGTGATGATCTGGTGGCGACACAGTGACGATCTGGTCGTAGGTGTGGTGATGATCTGGTGGCGACACAGTGACGATCTGGTCGTAGGTGTGGTGATGATCTGGTGGCGACACAGTGACGATCTGGTCGTAGGTGTGGTGATGATCTGGTGGCGACACAGTGACGATCTGGTCGTAGGTGTGGTGATGATCTGGTGGCGACACAGTGACGATCTGGTCGTAGGTGTGGTGATGATCTGGTGGCGACACAGTGACGATCTGGTCGTAGGTGTGGTGATGATCTGGTGGCGACACAGTGACGATCTGGTCGTAGGTGTGGTGATGATCTGGTGGCGACACAGTGACGATCTGGTCGTAGGTGTGGTGATGATCTGGTGGCGACACAGTGACGATCTGGTCGTAGGTGTGGTGATGATCTGGTGGCGACACAGTGACGATCTGGTCGTAGGTGTGGTGATGATCTGGTGGCGACACAGTGACGATCTGGTCGTAGGTGTGGTGATGATCTGGTGGCGACACAGTGACGATCTGGTCGTAGGTGTGGTGATGATCTGGTGGCGACACAGTGACGATCTGGTCGTAGGTGTGGTGATGATCTGGTGGCGACACAGTGACGATCTGGTCGTAGGTGTGGTGATGATCTGGTGGCGACACAGTGACGATCTGGTCGTAGGTGTGGTGATGATCTGGTGGCGACACAGTGACGATCTGGTCGTAGGTGTGGTGATGATCTGGTGGCGACACAGTGACGATCTGGTCGTAGGTGTGGTGATGATCTGGTGGCGACACAGTGACGATCTGGTCGTAGGTGCGGTGATGATCTGGTGGCGGCACAGTGACGATCTGGTCGTAGGTGCGGTGATGATCTGGTGGCGGCACATTGACGATCTTCCCGTAGGCAATTTGATGATGCCACGGACAGCGTGACACAGCAACAGCGGTGTACCACCTTAACGGGTAGGTCAGCAGTGGTGTACAGCAATTGACGGTGTAAAGCTCAGTGGAACACACCAATCAGTGGTTTATAGCATCGGGCATGTGATTCAGCTGGGACAGGAGACACACAGCTTCAGACGAGCACTTCGTACGAGTGACACACAGCCTCGGACACATAGCTTCGGGCGGAGATAACACTGCACATCCTTGGATGGGGATGATACTCAAAAGCCTTTGATTAGTTCGGATGAGCCCCCATTGTCGAGCCGTAGCTCTTGATGCCCTGTGGTCATCCACTCTTCTAATCCAGACGTTCAAACAATGGGACATCCTAGTATCACACATACCGGTGTAACCGACAACAAACACTGGATATATCGATATGATTTCAATGTATAATTTTAATATGCCTCGTTAAACCTGAAAGATTAATGTACTTCACATTACAACTTGTAAACTTATCAACGTTCAACTTCACGATCTATCTAGCCGAATCCTCACACACACAGAACAAGCTATGCCATGAACATCACACAACGGCCATCGCTGTCCTCGAACAAGAACAACTACTAACGCGTCATTTCCCCTTACACAACTACGTCACAACACTCTCACACAATAGATACAGCTACACATGAAATCTCTAAACAAAACATATTTTCCCTACCAAACATAACAACAGCGATCTACACATAACAACAGTGATTCTCATAACCTTGACATAGGGCGTGCCACAACTTGGTGAATTCAGTTTATATATATTTCAACATGACTGCGTCTACTGGGCCATAACTTCTTCCATCATTGCATGGACGTCAGGCTTTCTTTGCTCTCAGTGTTCCTGCCATAGTAATATTCCTCTGCATACAAATATTTTGCTGTTGGAACAGATGTAAAAAAAAAGAAAGAAATCTATGTGCGTAGTCACACACCTTCCAGTTCCAAACATTGGTTTCAGGCCTGAATCTCACAACTTCTAGCTTTCGAAAGCCGCATCGTCGTCTCCTTAAAAAATGGACTTTAATTTAAACAATGATTCATAATAAAAATAAATAAACACATATTTTAGAAGGCTACTTACATAACATGTACATTAAGATGAATACAACACAAATGGGAATAAACTGGTTTCTATAGTTTCTGCAGAATATCAAAACAATAAGCTTACAGGGGACCCGGAGAACACACCTTGATATATTTTTATTCACAAAATATTTTTACACTTTCGTTTTTGTTTTTTCACAATATTTTTCAGTATACGCAACCGTTAGCTCAGCAGCCTTTTTTCGTCTATCAATTTTTCTACACAGTGTTTGAAAATAACGCACGACTGGGCTAACTTTCCACTTGAAGCTTAAATAAGCCAGCAGTTCTTTCCCTGTAGAAACAGAATTAAAAAAAGAAAATTAAATGCCTGATTTTATTAATAATACACAAATAGATAAATGGTAATTTATATATATATATATTTTTTGTCGTTTGGCAGATGTTTAATTCACCACAAGTAAAATCCTAGACACATTAATTGGAAGGGATAAACAACAGAAAAGTATCTTTTCATAAACTTTCATTTTAGCAGATCAAAATTAACAATTCTTGAAGAACGAAGAGACAAATCTTGCTACAACAATTAAGAAATAACGTGGAATTATATAAATAGATATAGATTTTTTTTTACACGTTTGTTAAGGTAACAGAAGCATGTCTATGACTTAAGCCCCTTCAGTCAAATCTATTCACACATGGACGAACCTTTCTCTATGTTATAAATTAACAAAAGTTTGTTTGTTTTGTTTGTTTTGTTTGTTTGTTTTGTTTGTTTTGTTTTGTTTGTTTTGTTTGTTTTGTTTGTTTTGTTTGTTTTTTTTTTTTGTTTTGTTTTGTTTGTTTTGTTTGTTTGTTTTGTTTGTTTTGTTTTTTTTGTTTGTTTTGTTTTGTTTGTTTTGTTTGTTTTGTTTGTTTGTTTTGTTTGTTTTGTTTGTTTTGTTTGTTTTGTTTGTTTTGTTTGTTTGTTTTGTTTGTTTTGTTTGTTTTGTTTGTTTTGTTTGTTTTGTTTTGTTTGTTTGTTTTGTTTTGTTTGTTTTGTTTGTTTGTTTTGCTTGTTTTGTTTGTTTTGTTTGTTTGTTTGTTTTGTTTGTTTTGTTTTGTTTTGTTTGTTTTGTTTGTTTTGTTTTGTTTGTTTTTTTTGTTTTGTTTGTTTGTTTATTTTGGGGGGTGGGGGTGTTTTTTTTCTTCATTTATTAAATTTTTTTTTCTTCTACAAGTAACGATGAATTTTTGATTAGAAAAACAATATAAAGTCCAAAGCGACCCACCTTTTTCACGTTTATTCTTAAGCAGGTACCAAGCAGCCCTACATAATACAACGGCACATACAAGTGGTATAACAATTCCTGCTATTGCAGAGGGTGATAAGGTGTTGTTGCCAGGGTCTGATTTAGATGCTACCGGTGGCGGCTTGGCTGAAAAAAACAAATAAAACACAAAGATTTATCGGTGCTTCCTTTTTTACGAGATGGAGATTGTGATATAATTTTTTATTGTAGTTAAACTCTATAACGAGCAGTGGCGATGCCATCAAATTTAACATGGCGGGTCCCTTGCAGGTCTTAAAAAAATTTGGCGGGTCCCAAATAAATGTATTAAAAATAAAATTTATTGGCGATTTTTTTGCCTACGTAATATATGGATGGCCTCTTACAAGTTAAAAACTTAAATTTTATATATATTACATTTTATGACGTTATATTGACTTTTGTTGTCGATACAAATTAAAACTTAAAAGGCATTTAAAATGGAAGTTCTCTTACATGTAATGTAGTTTACGCTTAATGAGCATATATACAATATTAGTAACTAATAAAAATTGACCAGGTCATTTGCCAGGTCCCAAGTTTTTTTACCCGGCGGGACCTGGTGTAGCGTCGCCACTGATAACGAGGTATCTAATCATTTGCATAGTGTGCACACTTGTGAATTCCTCGCATCCTCTAAAGGAATTATTTGATTATGTATAGTTCCACACACACAAAAAAAGTAACACTTCATTTTTTGAATTGGAAATAGGGGAATAACAACTCTAACAAAAATGAATAAATCACATAGGTTGTAAAGCTTAGAAAACCAATTGGTAACTTTTTACCTAAACAAAAATATTAATAAAGAATTGAAAAGATAAAATGAGCAAATAACATATAGCTTAAGAGTAATTTACTCCCGGGCAGTCGATTATTTATTTCAACAATTTTAAGTTAATTTATTGAACCGCCACTCGACAACAACTGTCAAACTCTTACACCAATTTCGTATAAATGAACTAGATTTTGTCGTCAACTAAAATATCAACACATTGTACAAAGTCTCCTGAAGTCAAATGTGTGCGACACGAGGCCGCGAAATAATACACAATGTTCATAAGTTTAGTTCCCTGTTCAATTCGGCAGTCTGGCAGTTTAACTGTTCAACTTTCAAGGACTCCACAGAATTATTAACATAATTAATATACAAAATTGCAACCCCCCCCCCCTGCGTTTGTTACAAATAATTTGGATACCAATAAATGAAAAAGCGCATCTTTTTGGAATGCGTAAGGTTAAGAAATGGCTCGGGTTGGCAGTTTAACTGTTCAACTTTCAAGGACTCCACAAAATTATTAACATAATTAATATACAAAATTGCAACCCCCCCCCCCCTGCGTTTGTTACAAATAATTTGGATACCAATAAATGAAAAAGCGCATCTTTTTGGAATGCGTAAGGTTAAGAAATGGCTCGGGACTAACAAATCATTACATTTTTTTAATTATATCTAAAATAAATTCTATATTTTTAACAGTAAGAATATATTAATGTAGTTAAATTTATATAATGTGGATTCGATGAGTTCTAAATATTACTTTACATTGATTGCTAATAGTAATAATTTTTTTCATCTTAACTTGAAAATAAATATTTCTCCTTCTCAACAGCGCAGAGCAACTGATAAATTTATCGTGGAAGCGGCTGACGTTATTATTGTCTAGACTAACTATTAAGCGCTTAAATTATCCTAATTTTATTCCTCAAAGACGGATCCAAAGAAGGCCATTACTCTGACACGATGCTCAAAGTCCGTTCGAAATCTAGAATGGTAAAGTTTTGTATTAATTATTTTTTGTTGGAATTTTATTTTATTTTTTTTTGGGGGTGGGGGGGGTGGGGGGGTGGGGGGGAGGGGGGTGATGTTCGGGGTTAACCAATCAACGGTTTTTATAATCCGGTTTTAAACGTGTTATTGGTTATTAAAAATAATTTGCAATTTGCTCCGCACATCAAGTTTAGCTTGTTATTATATTCTGATAAATATGAATGATTGAATGATCAGTTGAATGATTTGATATTTACAAGATGTAACTGGCAGTTGAAACAGTTTCGGTCTGTAGGGCTGACGAAGCAACTCTTCTATTTGAATACCTTGATTACAAGCTGCCGTTAATGGATATGAAGCTAGAGGCGAAGATGGTAACCTCTAGCCGATGATTCTTACTATGCAGCCCTGAGAAGCTGCTCCAAGTCCAAGGCAACCGTTTCGTCCCAGCTACTTCGCAAACTAGTTGCGTGGTGGAAATCCACTGTAGAAACCCTCTTAAAAGGCGTCCAACGCTTCCCCGGATGGGTTGGGGAAGATATTAGGACGTAAATTTACCATGTCGACTCCTGAGAAAGTCGATCGTCTTCATTGTGTGCAAACACAGGGTCGGTCCGACCGGGTGTCTTTGGGTTGTGGCGGCCCCCATCGGAACACGATCGAGCGGACTCACGTGGGGGCTGTCCTGGCAAAGGGACATCTCAAACGTGTAGCTTAGTGGCCCGATACTGGGCCTGGGAGGTGTTTGGGGAGGGCATATGGAGCATTAGCTCGACGGCCCGCTGACGCCATTTCTTAATGTGACATTTTTGTACCACAGTTTAGTAATAGAGGTCAATGAATAGGGGTAAATTACCCTTAATGGGGTAAACTAAAAATTCTGTGGCTGATGAAAGCCCATTAGAGATCACTGGAGTTGGTTAACAATGAGGGTGGCGTTGGGGGTATTAATCCCCTGATACAAATATATTACTAGAAATTAACTTGGGCTATTTAATATTTTATCTTTATTTTATATGTATGTATGAAATAAAAATGCTGAATTCAATATATTTTGGCTCCCTCCCCATTATCAGCTATTGTCAAAAATTTTCCAACCCTCTACACCCTAGTTTGTTGACGGCCCCTTCCCTGTTGTAAATTTTACTTTTACGCTTACCCCCTTTAAATGCAACCTCTCACTGCAGCGCCTTGCTTTGAAACCCTCCATTTACAAAAAAGCAATAAAACTGAAAACAAACAACGTACGTTTTATAACAACTTCCTGGGTGATGTTGACAATTTTAGTTTTCATCCCGAAAGTAAAATAGCCCTGGCAAACGTACGTGCCACTGTCGTCAGTTGTTGCCCGTTTCATTGTTACTTGGAGCCCCGAGATGTACTTGTGATTGATAGTCCACGTGCTTGAGGGCACCATGGGTTCCTGGATAAAAAATATTTAGAATTAAGGAATGTTTTGCAAAATATATGTTACAAGTTGTGTATACCCTTTCTATTTTGGCATTTAAGTGTTTCTATTTAAACATATATTGAGGATGGACATTCAGTTAAATGTTTCAATTTAAACAGATATTGAGGATGGACATTCAGTTAAATGGTTCAATTTCCACACAAATTGAGGATGGGCATTCCGCTAATCCTTTATATTGGCACAGATTTTGAGGGTGAACATTCAGTTAAAAGTTTCTATTTACACAGATAATGAGGGTAAACATTCAGTTAAAACTTTCTATTTACACAGATATTGAGGGTGAACATTCAGTTAAAAGTTTCTATTTACACATATTTTGGAGGGTGAACATTCAGTTACAAGTTTCTATTTACACATATATTGAGAGTGAACATTCAGTTACAAGTTTCTATTTACACAGATATTGAGGATGAACATTCAGTTAAAAGTTTCTATTTACACAGATATTGAGGGTGAACATTCAGTTAATAGTTTCTATTTACACATATTTTGGAGGGTGAACATTCAGTTACAAGTTTCTATTTACACATATTTTGGAGGGTGAACATTCAGTTACAAGTTTCTATTTACACAGATATTGAGAGTGAACATTCAGTTAAAAGTTTCTATTTAAACAGATATTGAGGATGAACATTCAGTTAAAAGTTTCTATTTACACAGATATTGAGGGTGAACATTCAGTTAAAAGTTTCTATTTACACAGATATTGAGGGTGAACATTCAGTTAATAGTTTCTATTTACAAATATTTTGGAGGGTGAACATTCAGTTACAAGTTTCTATTTACACATATTTTGGAGGGTGAACATTCAGTTACAAGTTTCTATTTACACAGATATTGAGAGTGAACATTCAGTTAAAAGTTTCTACTTAAACAGATATTGAGGATGAACATTCAGTTAAAAGTTTCTATTTACAAAGATATTGAGGATGAACATTCAGTTACAAGTTTCTATTTACACAGATATTGAGGGTGAACATTCAGTTAAAAGTTTCTATTTACACATATTTTGGAGGGTGAACATTCAGTTACAAGTTTCTATTTACATAGATATTGAGAGTGAACATTCAGTTAAAAGTTTCTACTTAAACAGATATTGAGGATGAACATTCAGTTAAAAGTTTCTATTTACAAAGATATTGAGGATGAACATTCAGTTACAAGTTTCTATTTACACAGATATTGAGGGTGAACATTCAGTTACAAGTTTCTATTTACAAAGATATTGAGGATGAACATTCAGTTAAAGTTTCTATTTACACAGATATTGAGGATGAACATTCAGTTACAAGTTTATATTTACACAGATATTGAGGGTGAACATTCAGATACAAGTTTCTATTTACACAGATATTGAGGATGGACATTCAGTTAAATGGTTCAATTTCCACACATATTGAGGATGGGCATTCCGCTAATCCTTTATATTGGCACAGATTTTGAGGGTGAACATTCAGTTAAAAGTTTCTATTTACACAGATAATGAGGGTAAACATTCAGTTAAAAGTTTCTATTTACACAGATATTGAGAGTGAACATTCAGTTAAAAGTTTCTATTTACACAGATATTGAGGATGAACATTCAGTTAAAGTTTCTATTTACACAGATATGGAGGGTGAACATTCAGTTAAAGTTTCTATTTTTACAGATATTAAGGATGAACATTCAGTTACAAGTTTCTATTTACACAGATATTGAGGGTGAACATTCAGTTAAAAGTTTCTATTTACACAGATATTGAGAGTGAACATTCAGTTAAAAGTTTCTATTTACACAGATATTGAGGATGAACATTCAGTTAAAGTTTCTATTTACACATATATTGAGAGTGAACATTCAGTTACAAGTTTCTATTTACACAGATATTGAGAGTGAACATTCAGTTAAAAGTTTCTATTTACACAGATATTGAGGATGAACATTCAGTTAAAGTTTCTATTTACACAGATATGGAGGGTGAACATTCAGTTAAAGTTTCTATTTTTACAGATATTAAGGATGAACATTCAGTTACAAGTTTCTATTTACACAGATATTGAGGGTGAACATTCAGTTAAAAGTTTCTATTTACACAGATATTGAGAGTGAACATTCAGTTAAAAGTTTCTATTTACACAGATATTGAGGATGAACATTCAGTTAAAGTTTCTATTTACACAGATATGGAGGGTGAACATTCAGTTAAAGTTTCTATTTTTACAGATATTAAGGATGAACATTCAGTTACAAGTTTCTATTTACACAGATATTGAGGGTGAACATTCAGTTA